GAGAGCAAATGTGTTATGATTTCCTCTCAAGTGACCCTTCTTGAAGTGGGAAATGAAAATAAAAAGAACCCAGTGACAACTTTCTGTATAACTCACTATACACAAAGCAGTGCAAACCCAGAAGTGTCTACGGTAATAAATATCCACTGGTCTCTCTATACTGGGCACTTTTACATGTGGCCATACAACACCATCATTTAATATTTCCTTTTGGAAGTACTAAAAACACCGTGCGATAACAGCCCCTACTGTGCTGTGCTGGCCGTACAGTTATTTTTGGCTGCTACATCGCCGTAGCAACCCGCTATAATGAAGGAGCACATTGCTACAGTGACACAGCGGCGGCACCATGGTTTTTGCCAATAGTAAAGATTATTTAGCGTCTTGTGTAAACGTGCCCACTGACTCATAATTAAACTGGATGCGTCTCTGTGAGTAGCAGTCTCCCTAATCATCCTTTTCCATTCTAAATAGAATCAGCTGGAAAAATATACTTGCTTAAAATGACTAAGGAGACGTTTTTATCCAGGGCCAAAGTGATCCAATATTTTGACCTCCCAGCTGTGATACTGTAACAAAGGTTTTACTAGGATTACATTTTCATAAAAATGTCCAATCTACATAAATTTCTACATGACTTTAAATATTTTCTCTACCTTTGAGGGAAATAAACTAAAAGCAATGACACAAAATGTTAACCAAAACAAAAATGTATCAGTCTATTTAGTAACAGCATTGGCAGTTTAAATCAAACTTTCCAATTAAATCCTACTGCTGCTATAGATAAAATATTGATCTTTTCAATTATGGTAATAAAACCAAATCTTTATTGACTTCTTAAAACTTCAGTTGTACTGTGTAAAGTTTTTTCAGGAACATTTGTACAAAGCACATTATAAACAGGTTGCAGACTTTGGTTGCTTGCTGCCATTAGCAATTATAAAAATGTTCATAGTTCCCCACACAAGGTTTAAAGTGTCTGTCATGTCATATAAGTACCAGTATCTTCTTTGTTATAAATGGCAAACTGAATAATCCCCAAAATAAAAGTATATTTATTGTGATATATCAACGCCCAGTCTACCAAACTTTTACTTCTTAGCATAATGCTTACCACACTGTGCTTTGTGCAGAATCAAGCCCTAAGATATCCGAATGGGTACACTTTTGTCTTGAGATAAGTTCTTAGGATGTTTGTAACCTAGAAAAACGTGTCTTTATTTAAATTTCCAAACATTTAAATACTATTGCTTGGAAGGACTTATACTTTAATACCACTAAAAAATAACAGGCTGGCCAACTGAAAAATGTAGCCATAAGGACTGAATTAGATAGATAAGCTAATTATTATTTGGAGAAATTTATAACCCACTTTATACACATTTCCTCAGAAAACATTTAATAAAACTGCCATTTAAGCAAAATAACATAAATTGTCTATACTATGAGAAAATCATGACATTTGAACATATAAAAGACACATGAGTAATGTGTATCCAATGATGATCCTGATGTGTCAACATTCTGCCATCTATACCATTTCTAAGGATGAATTAAACAAAGTCTGAAGGACATATTTAAGCAGCAAAGGGTCCAATCCTACCCACCAGTTTCATGGGCTTTGGAAAAACTACTTTAGTGAGTAAGGGCTAAAAGCTTTTATAAAATTAAAATTTAAAAGATTTCACTTAATACTCATTTTGTAAACATCTCTCAAATTATCATATACAATAGTAAGAGACAGGAATATCACATTTCCAAAACTATTACAAACTTTTCTCTATTGGGATCAATTTAGAAACCTTAAAACAACACTATAAGAGGGTGTTTTATGGCAGATGTGTGTGTTTGGTAAATTGGAATACTGAAAATGGAACTGGAATCAAGAATTATGTTTGTAAATCTCCTCTTATTAATGTAGAGCAACTTCCCTAACAAAGCAGAGCAAAGTGTTTTCCCTATGACCACACAATATTCCTAAGCTGAATATGACCTTCTTTTTCTTTTAAACAATTCAGAACATGCACAACAGGATATGCACACTTATTTCAATGGGTTTACTTACATGAATAAAGTTAACAACATAAGCTATACATGTGCTTCAGGGCTTTTAGAATCTAGACCAGGGATGTCTGTCTAACTTAAGGCCCGCAGCTGGATCTGGCTTGCAAAACCACATCATCTGGCCTGTGGGTCTCCTGGAGGCCAGGTATTCAGAGACAGGGTGAGCAATGAATTAATTAACCCCTGCAGCTCCTTGGCATCATGTGCCCCACCACTGCTGCTGCTGCGTTAAGATCCAGCTGGCAAGGAACTCTGGAGTCCAGATCCAACCAGGGAGATCCAACCAGAGGAGCCAGATGAGTTTGAGAGCCCAGATCTAAGCCAATGGGATCTAGGCCAATTTTACTTAACTCATTTGTAAGTAATAAGCAAGTAAAATTGGGCCCTTCATTTTTAATGGCAGAATTTTTAATTTGTTCAGGATTGGGTCCTTAATTTTTAATGCAAGGGACAGAGGATAAAATCAACTCTTATAGTTTCTATTTTTGCTGGTGGCATTTTGTTTAATCAGGAACTCGGTACAGAAATAATTCTTCTCTGCACAAGAATGTTATAAACAAGAAGTGAATGAAATGCCATCAATCCATAAACAGGTTTATTGTGTGTTATAAAAGTAGGATAAATAGTTAACTGCATACAAACAGGCTAGTTCAGTGTGCCAGCAGGTAGATTTTGCATACTATGATTTTCCATACACTGTCAGATTCTGAAGGATGTACACTCAGGTAAATTTGGAGATATCTATATAGTGTTCACTTTTTTTTTTTTTTTTAAATCAGTCCAGTCTGATGAACTGTTTAGCTATTGCATATATTTTCCCTTCAATCCCCTTACCTCTCACTCCCTAAAAGCAGTTAGTTGCATGTGGATCACTATCACAGAAAGATGTTCCATTCCTGGGATGTTTTGGATTTTAAGTTACTGAATATAGTTTCACAACTACCTTCCCATACACACACACATGCACACACACTGCTCCTGGTTTTCAGAGGTACTGAATTCTGGCAGTTCACACTACCTTCAGCAGCACTTGTGGCATACTGCTTCTGAAAATCAGGACCAAAATAAATACCCTTTAGTAGTTCAGTTCAGGGGTGTCAAACATAGGACCTAAGAATGCTCAATACCTCATGAACTGGATGCCAAGAAAACTGTACGGGTCAGAATACCCTGCTGAAGCTAAAAAGACATTCCTGGTGTCATGGATGCTCTGAGTGAATTCTATACATGAATTAATACAATGGCAAAACACACTCTTAGCTATCCATTTAGTTCAGTAAAATGGATGCTGAGTTTTTAAGTGTAATTTTGAACTGCTGCAGTTCTGCCTAAGACCTTAAAAAGAACAAGATTTTTCTAGGCATGGCAATTTATTTACATTACAGCACCAACCCCTAAATGACATTGCCAAGGAAATGCCTAGGAAAAAATAGGGCACTTGCTCCAGCAAGTTAAATCAGGCAGTGTCTGGAGAAGACAGTTACTATCTCTACAATGGGATTGTTTTCCCCTTCTAAATTAAAAATAGAGGCACATTCATCATAGCAGAGTGGCAATTTTTGCAAATGCAGTCAGCTGAGAAATTACAATTAGGCAGAGATCCTGCAAGCCCTTGCTCATATGAGCAGCCCTGACTCATGCCAGTTGCTCCATTAATTTCAATGGGACAAACCATGTACCTCATAGGATCTGGTTGTTAATTTGGCAGTACAGCAGGGTTGGCAACATTTTTGGCCAGAGTGCCAACCCCCAAAACCTCAATTTGTAAGACATTGGCATGCCAGGGGTGGATGGCGCAAAAGCCATGAGTGAACCAATCCTTCCGGCAGTGCAACCCTGACTCCTTCCCTGCCATCCACCTCGAGGCACACATGCACCCATCGCCGGCAACGAGCCAGGCCTGGACTCTGTGGACCCCCTTGCTGCTGCAAGAAGCCCAGGCTCGGTGGGCCCCAAGCCCAGGCCAGCTGTGGTAGGCATCCGAGAGGCTGAAAGCAGCTGCACCAGGGTCTATGGAGTCCTAGCCTGGCTCATTGCTGGAGGCAGTGTATCTGTGCCTCAGGGTGGATGGCAGGGAAGAGTCTGGGTTTATGCTGCCACAACAAGGATTGGGCCCCTCATAGTTCCCCCACCATCCACCCTGAGGGCTGGCATGTCAAGCCAAATATCTTCACATGCCACACACTGGCATGCATGCCAGGGGTTGCTGACCCCTACAGTACAGTATTATGAGCACACTGCTGGCATGCTGAAGAATAGCAAGTTCTAAGTTAACTGTGTAGGGATATGTTAAACGTACTGCTATCTTTATCCTGAAAGTCCTTACTCAGGGAAAGCCTGGGCTGATGCTTTTTTAAATTAGAGGATATCAGATTGGTATTTCCTAACCATCCCTCCATTCCTGCCTGCCCTGGAAATATGCCACATTTGCAACTTCTGGCAGTGAAAGCATGAAACAATATTGTTGATAACAAAAGACTATTTTGCTATTCTAGTCTTATTTCACCTCTGCAGCGTATCCTGCCTCTTATTTTAACTATCTGGTCAAAAGTCAGTACTTTACAGGTGAAAAATAAGCCTTAAGTCACTCCTCTCAAAGTACTTTACTTTGGTCTATTACGCATTTTGAGCATGATCCAAATCCTATTGAATTCACTGAAAAACCTTGCATCTACTGCAAAGGGCTTTCGATCAGAACAGATCAAAGCCATATAGATAAGCGCAGGTTTCTTTTTAATTAGAGCAAAGATGCTTATGTGCACTGAATTGTCATGGGTTAAATCCTGATCCCACTGAAGTCAAGATACCCACTGACTTCAACAGGGCCAAGCTTTCACCCCCTTGTCTAGTAACATTTTCAAACCCTCTCTCCTGTTCCTTCCCCTACAGAAGATGGATTCAGTATTGTAGAAAAAACCCTAAACATGAGGACTCACCTGATTTGTCAGCAGAATCATCGAACTCCACATTGAAAGAGTGACCATTGTTGACGATGCTTCTAGTTGTGGAGGGATCATAACTGATACTTAAGGGCTTCAGAGAAGGGTCATACTTGGCGGACCTGGTGTTAATATCAATAGGAGACTGACGTTCTCCATTGGCAACAGGGAATTCCTTACACCAGTGAGCGGGTCCTACAAAAGGATACACATAGAAACGCAACATGAAAGGATGCGCACAAGACACAGAGGGTGGCCATAAGTCATAACCAAGTCAACTTGAAGTGCACGGCAGAAGCTCTCACGCATGAAGAGTGGAGTGTCTTATCTCTGCCAGCTCCCACTGCTTGTTCCAGCAATGGGGGTGAGAAAGCCACAGGCCAGGGGTTACCGTCAGTTCCTGCTGGTGACCCAGGGGGTGTCATGGGCCTGAGGACGTGGGAGCCCCGAGGCACAGGGCAAGGCATCCTAAAAAGCTGGTGCCCCGCTACTTCTAAAACCTGAGCCTGCCACCACACCAAACTGGGGACGTGCGGGGGTACAGGCTGGCACGACCTCCTGCAACCTCCTGCGGCGTGGTGAGAAGCCTTGGGGAAGTGCTGGAGAAGCTGCCCGGGTCCCCCACTAGCCCAGGTGCCACAGACAGGTAGCTGCAGGTGGCAGGACAGGGGCATGCAGGTTTGCCAGGGAAGCAGCAGCGGCACATGGCCACGGGGACGCTGCCCGGCCCCGCATCCGCGGACCCGGGGGCTGAACACAGACCAGCGCCCGCCTCACCCCGCGTCCCCCCCGGCCCGCGGGGCTCGGCACGGGCAGAGGCGGCGGCGCGGGGCACTCACCGTTGTCACAGCCGTAGCCCCAGTGCTGGGACATGGTGCGGGCGGCTCGTGCTCGGGCAGGACGCTGGCCCCGGCTCGCCGTCAGGGGCTTTTATACACTCCCGCCAAGTGCATGGCCGGGC